GTCTTTGGTATATCAATTTTCACTGCCTTTAATTTGTTGCCAATCACTTGTAACTCATGCACTTGGAGAAAAAGAGGGATATTTTCTAAAATTTTAAAATCAAAATATTTAGAAATCAAAAATTTCTTTGTACCTTCTTCTTCCGTCTTGTACTTACTTTCCAATGCTTCCCAGATTTCTTTCGTCGAAGTTGTATTGGTGTATAGATCATACAAACGATCCGACAATGCATTCAAGATGTGGCCACGGCAAATCAATTCATCTTCTTGGCGTTTTTGTCTCTCGGTCTTGATTGCTTCGGATTCTCCATTCGTTGGTTTCGGCAAAGGCGCCAAATTTGGATCAAGAATATAAAAAATCTTCAACGCCGTTACGAAGAATTTCAACTTATCTTTCCACTGCATGAAGTTAGTCCCGTCAAAACGATCCAATCTAACCAGATCTTGATTCGTGAGTTTGATGGTTGTCATAGTTGTATCATTCTCCATCGTAAAATATAGTTTGAGATTGTTGGAAAATAATGGGTTGGAGAAGAAACAACAACAAAATTATGGAAACAAAATGAATAGAAATCATGAAATACGTCGAGAATGAATTTGAGGCTTGAACACGGGATCGTTGTCCTCAAACTATATTTGCCCCCTCTCTAGATACTTAAGGGTGTTATGGCAAATGGTTTGAAGGATTTTAACAAGTCTTAATGCAGAAAATAACAAAGCACGAGAAATTTTCCGCCAAAACTTGATGAACACAATAAAGAAGAAATGAATATAAGTTATAGCATGGATTTGATTAATTGTGGAACAATGTATGTATTTCTTGTTTGTAATATGTTTGTATTGATCATTCATCATCTACTTATAGACTTCAATCAATACATCACAAAATGGTGCCAAAACAAGATGAAAGGTGGCAACTTTTAATCCAAAACGGCTCCCAAATTTCAAATTGAAAAATCAGCCAACGGCTATTTTTTAATACCATGCGTACGCATAGTATAAACCGTGCGTATGCATAATAGAAGCAAAATCAATTCTGATTTTGTCAAAGCACATCTCGCATACGCACAGGTAAAAATCAAAATTTTCATTTTTCAATTTTTTTTTATTCTACCAATTCCACAATTGAGTCCAACAGTTAATCCATTATCATTCCATTGATTTTCAACAAATATTCAACAATATCTTCTACTTCCTCTGATCTTATATTTATCTTCAGTTATGTTGTTGGTGATGGTTTTTGAGGAGCTCAGAATAGTGGGCAATTTTGGTGGCGATGATGCTTGGTGGTGCCAACGATTTTGGTGGTTTTTTATTTTGGAGTGGACAGGGTGTCAGGGGTTAGTGGAGAAGAATACGAATAGTGTGTATGTTTTTTTTTTATTTAATTATTTATAGATTATAATTATATTTTTGTTAAAAACTTAAAGTTATCATTTTATCCTTTTAGCATTAGTCAAAATTATGATCAGTGTTAATTTTTTGATCAACTTACGATCAAACTAACAATTTCCATCCATTTGCACCACAGCTACAACATTTTGAAAGGTTTAGTATCATGGGCGATATAAATGAAAGGTTTGGGTTAAGTCTGCACAAAAATGACAGGTTTGAAACCGTGGCTGCAAATTTTCCTAAACATATCTCCCTTAATTGCTAAAGTAAAGGAAAATAGTTGATGAAAGTAGAATCTTTGATTGTAACTTCAAAAAATCTACAGTCATCTTCAATCGCAATCCCTTAAACAAAAACTGGATGGATGAACTTTTTGCTCGAGAGAATTTCGTGTTTTTACTCTAAAAAACTAATATATTGTGTCATTCTTTTGACCTAGAATATTCATAGAACATGGTCTTTAATTTGCCAGAACTTGTCATGGATTCCACAATTTCCATCAGTATTTTAACTTCCAAAGACGCAAACAAAAGGCATCACCCATCAAACATCTCCGGCAATATATAAGCTTACAAAACTTGGAAAGACACAGAATGCCTGACAAAGTTTATAATTTGAATATGCTATCCAAGAACAGTCTCCGTGACATTCTATATTAGGTTCCATAATTGAACTAGTAATTTAATTCTACTAGTGCTACTACATAAATTAGTGTTAAAATACTAGTCGACGTAGGCACGATTTAATTTGGGTCGATTTTGAAGCTTCAAACCATAACCAAACCTACCAACTATGATTTTGTTTATTAAAAAAAAACAAATCAAACTAATTACCTGTGTCGAACCGACCAGTCCGTTCAGTTTGATTAATTTGATTGATTTTTCGATTTTTCGTTGCCCAAGCCTAAATACTAGTGGTGTTAACTAAGAATTTTTTTTTTCTGCCTATCAAACATACTTTTTATCCACTCCTTCCATGAACTTACTACTATTCAATTATATTCAACATATTTTGTAGGATTCACAACCTATAAAAACTTAAAAAGTATTATCAAACAAGCACTTGTCCTCTAAGTTCAATAGTACTCTCCCCCATCATATATGAGTGCTCTTGTGGAAAGATGCAAGAATTTGCTGAAAACAGCAAGCGGCAACGAAGACTTTTGCAGAACCAGTTTGCAATTCTGCCTAGCCACACGAGAGTCGGAAAACAAATCTTTTGCACAAGCTCAACCCCTCCTAACTGGTTACTAGATGTCATAACAAAATTTCCAACAGACAAGCAAGGCAAAAATAGCTCTGATGCATTGCCTATATGGACCTGGGACAGCGAGTTTTCAGTACAACCAAAACAATCCGAAACGTGAATCCAATTTAATTTAACCTGAAAAAAGGATATGATTTACAGTTTTTACGTCACCATAGCATTGAGATTTAGAAGTTTCGACATATCCTATTTGCTGCAACATAGTTTTCAAGGACCAAGATTTAGTAACAACGTTCAGTATACAAAAGAATTTTTCAAATATACCTGTTTGTGCATAATATCTGCAAAAGAAGCACAAAAAAACCTGTTCATTTTGTGCCTGGCCAGGCCAGAAAACAGATTAAATGAAAAAAGTTCCACTATCAAAGAAGAACCATATGGCCTTTTCTACTTGACTAGGATAGGATCTAAACTGCTTTACATCTATAACAACAGTACTAAAAAGCCAATCTTCAGGCTCTGGATGTCCCAACCAGAACTAGATAGAAATTTTAAATCACAAGGAACACTAATACCAGAACTACTTAATGATTCAGTTCCCAAAAAAAATAAAAAAGACCAGAAGGCATTCCCCTTTCCAAAATGTATTAACATATTCATCATCAGCAACGTGTCTAATTCATAAGCGCCTTCGCCATACCCCTGATAAAGGAAATGTGTATGTATGTATATATATATATTTTCAAATTTCAGGGCTGTGTCTACTGTCTTGCATAAGAAAGAACAACAGAGTTACAGGTTCTGAACTTCAACAACAGCTCAACACTCGAGCCTTCTTCAAATTCCCCAAATCTTCTAGAACCAAGCACCATTTCTCTGCATGGAAACGTAACTTTATCCAGAAAATTTAATGGAATTTCTTTCCCAGATACCCTCCCACAAAAAAAATCACAGAAGTTCATTCTCGATTCTACAATTATTTTGCCAGCAGCTAAGACAGGCTTATTAAACCATCTGGCGATTTTCCCACTCGTCTTTAAACTGAAAACGTTTTAAAGAAATGTAGCCTCTTAGTTTCCTGTGTAAATGGGACAGACTAAATAATTGATGGAGTGTTTTTTATGCTGGAAACAGTGCATTATTAAATAAGAGGTACCCTGTTTCCGATCAATTGCTGTGAAGGAGCAAAGAGAAATTTGTTTTTACTAAGCCTCTGTTTGCGAAGAATATATAAACGGTGTAGTTTATAAATATATAGAAATGACTAGTGGGCAAGTGGGTAGTACTAGTAGATCCATTGGAATATGTGGTTGAAAATGAAGTTCAACCATTTAGAAATTATTTATAAATTTTGCCAAACGGAAGCTTAAAATACAGCTACATAGAAGGCCAGAAAATACATCACCTGCCTCAACAGGGATCTTGATCCATTTGAAAAAGTCATAGCATTTGTAAAAAGAGAAACATGGTCCACCATGACCTCGTTGCATCCAACAAGTTCAAACTCACAATTAAAAGTAAACTCATTCGAGAAATAGAGTACACTGACATATAGTCATCCACAAATTTAATAAAAAAAAAAAGCCTTGGAGTCTGAGAAATAAGAGTATAAAGTATCAATCAAAGACATTACTGAATCCAGGTGGGAAAATGCATCAATGGTATTAAAGCAGGTGTGGGAGCACGTTACAGCAGAGGTATCTAAACAAAACAGAGCACCATCAATCAGTCCCAATGTCACAACACACACACCCCAAATATGCATCTCCTATAAACACAAAATAAATTAAGCCAACAGGCACACACATTAGAATGATTCTTAATCATATACAAGCAAAATAAATTATAACCCTAGTTAGTAAATGCTGCTATTATAAGCACATGTGTATGTACGAAAAAATAATTGGAAAATAAGCAGAAGAGGAATCAAAAACAATATTCTCTCAAAAGATCAATCTTCCTAATTCTATTTCGTCTGTGTCGGCCCACAAAGTTTAACTACAATAGACCCTGACATCAAAACCAACATTGTTTTGCAATGAATTAACACTCCCTTCGGAGAACAACAAAATACACATGCATAAACAAGATTACCATAATATATTGCAACAATAACACATGCATTAGCATTATGAATAGTAACAGGAAATTAAAGTTGAAGATAACTTCAATTAATAAACCTGAAAATAGCCCTACCCATATATCCAAAAGTTGAAATTTACATGCTATAGCAACTATAATAGCAAAAAGAAATATTAACCTGATTGCGATTTTTCAGTTATCAATTTCAACCTATCAAAAGTACAACTTTATAACAAAATTGGCTTCCCTTATTGATGTGGTAAATAAAAATTGAGTTCTCCCCCAAAAAATATAGTTCGATAAAAAAGTGCATAGAGAAATGGTAATAATTTAATCAACATAAAATAAATTGACATCAAATTTATAATAACAAACGCCAGAATGAACTATTAGGACAACACAGAGCCGTAGTAGCAGGTCGTTCACAATATAATTATTATTGAAAATCACAGTATTCATAACAAGACTGTAAAAGATCAACAGTACTACTATGATATTAGATAGAGAGTAATAGCAGGAGGAGCAAATTCACTTCTTCATGCTGCCGCGAACGCCGGGCTTGGGCTTGGAAGTTTCGGCGACGGTGACAGAGTGGAGGTTGTTGAGCTTAGACTCATCGAACGGAATCTTGGGGTGGCGGGCGTCATGGTGAATCTGCATAGATTTGATGTCGGGTGCGGTAACCTTACAGAGCGGGCACTCCAGCTTGGCATGACCGCCCTTCTCCTGACCGGAGCGGTCAGCTAGCCCCGCCTTACCTCCGCCGCGGTTGGTGGTTGCAGCGTCCAACTTGGCCGCTAATTCCTTTGCTGTGTGCTTCTTTGGCTTAGCCTTCCCAGTCATGATTATTTGCTGATGATTGATTACCGATGCGCTCCACTTAAACAGTGAATGTGGAAGACAGAAAGAATCCTAATGAAACCCTAGATTAGATAATTTATGTGCAATCGTATGTTTAGAAAGTTGATTAATAAAAGGAAGTTTGCAACTTTGGTCCCCAAACTATACAATTTAGAATGGTTTGGTCCAAACTTCTCCATCTAAGAAGATAACCACGGAGTAGAAAGCGAGAAACACTGTAACTGAACAAAATTCAAACTTCGGCAATGAATTTAGAACAAAATAAAGCTAAGTTACTAAAACGATCTTCACCCAAAGTTTAGTGACTCGTATTCTTGGCCTTTATCTTCTTACATAGTTGAATACTATCCTATTTATTTCATCGAGTATGAGTAAAGTCTATGATACTAAGACACCAATTCTTAGATCATATTTGTCCGTTGTCGAGCTAGATAATCTCATTCTTTGTGTTGGAAAAATAATTAGTTGCAGCAGTGATCAGAACAATATAATGCAGAAATATAAAACTTATCGATCGAGTCTCGTGACAGCACGATGTCCTAAAGTGAAATTGCCCGTCAATAATTGCTGTGACCTCCGTGGACAATCACTCCCAGGATACAACGATCGTAAACCACTTATGCAGCAATCACGAATGGTTTTTCTAGAACTCTCAATTGTACTCCAGAATAGGTATAAAAACCCGAATATAAGAAGTTCACAATATGAAAAGAGTGATTGATTCTATTTTCTTTTTGTGTGTCTTTTCCCAAAGCAAGACATGGGTTTATATAGGCAAGATGGTAGTAACAGTCTTCACCATGTTAATGCAGAATTTTAATGACTGAGTAGTGGGTGTTTTAATGGCAGTTAGTGGGTTGTTACAAAACCAACAGTCATAAAATACTGGCTAGTTTTACCAATTAAATAACCAAAAAAAAAAAATATTTATTTTAGACAAGAGCCCAAGGCCCCAAGGCCCAAATCAAGACATTTTAATATTTGCGTGGGGAGTGATTCGAACCCCTGACGTCCCACACAAATGTCACATTTCCCACCACTTTGGCACTTTATCTAATTTGATTATTTCTTTCACATTTTATATTTATACCATAAATATATAACACTTTGTTCTTTACATGCTAATATGGTAGGCAGAATGTCACTGTTGCATTGGACACCCCACCAAACGAATTCCGGACTTGCAGTTCTTCGCTTGCTCTACACCTTAGTGTCTCACAATTTTGTGTCCCTCGTGCACACGCTAAATTAATCTTCACGTCCGCCCGTATTACGCTGCTCAAAATCACAAATGATGTCCTATTCTACTGCCATCCACTTGTAACATGATTTCCAAATGTACAACACAAAGATCACAGAATAACTAGTAGCATTAATTATGAGATGGGTCCCACACAATCACACACAGTACAGTAAGCAAAATACACAACTTTGAGACAAATGAGTAGTAAACAAGCAATGGGTTTATACATTTGGATCCAAATATATAAAATATACATACGAATGATTCATTTTGGTACTGCAAAGATGGATGGATCAGAAGGATTTCTGCAATTGGTTTTGCAATGAGGTCTTGATATTAGGTGTATCAGTGTCAGTTTGAGTCGCCATGAGAAGCTGTTCAAATGGCATCTGCAGAGAAAAATTCTGAGGGAGATTAGGCGACTGATCTTCATGGTCAGGTGGTTGAGTGAGATTATTCCAGCCCTTTGAGAGGATAGAGGTTGCACAGCCATCCAATCCTATGTGTGTCACGTGTTTTATATCGGTCGGACATCCTATTTCCATTCCTGCCTCTCCTTCATCCATTTCATCCTTCTCTAATGAAATAGAATGTTATCATCATCATTAGTTTGGACTCATGGGTTCCGTAACTTTTCAACCATACATTTCATCGATTTTTTTCAAAATCTACAAAAAAATCTGATTTTTATCTAAACTAAAGCATCAGAATGTGGATTACCAAATATATTAGAGAAGTTCTTGAAGTTCTTGAACAGCTTTTGAATCCTTGGAAGGGCCAAGAGGCTTAATGGGCTTTTCATATTTTCAACTGATAAGTTCTCTTCATCTTCTTCATATTCGTCTTCTTCTTCCTCCTCCTCCTTGATCTCATGGTGAATTCCTGCACAAGAATAAGTCACGAAAAAAGGTTTAAGAAATGCATGATATTGTTAATTTGTATGAATGAAAAGATTGAGTACTTGTGGGAGTTTGATTGACGTCGAGCTTTGATCTTTTAGGCTGCCGAGCACCAACTGCAATGCTGGATTCCGAGACACAACCCAATGTAAAGGGAAGAAGTACGAATCTTTCCATTCGATCTCTCATTTCTTTCAGCGAGCAGATGTAAACACACAAAACAAAGGGAGGTAGCTAGTTTATGTTGTTGAGGAACAAAAATCAATAGGTGGGTGGAGTGTAGGAATGGGATTGATGTTATAATGTATCGTGCTTGGCTTCCTTTGTCATTAAGTTAGAATAATACTTTGTATAGATGGTCAATTTCCACTTTAAGAGTGTTGGTATTAACATATAAATCAATGCAACAAAATTAGGTAAAATTTGCTAATTAATGAAGTATTTGATGAAGACGTATGAATATGTTTTTCTCTCTCGGTTAGTTGAAAATGGTGGGCATTGCCACTCTTGGAGGAGAAGGCAACAGTCTTCCAGTGCTAGTGCACTATAGCCTATCATCTGTTTATTTCTTTACTTTGTTGAATAAACTTCAGTTAGACTCCACCAAATACTAGTGTATGTCAAGCAACCCACTCCCACTTCATAATTACAAGTCAATGCAAAAATTATACAAAAAATTCACTTGTGCGATTCTTTGTTGTAAAGCGAACGAAATTTTCTTTTTGAACTAATTGCGACTACGATGCAATAAAGAAAAATATTGGTTCCATTTTGATTATTTGTCTATTTTTGTGGCAAACCAGTACTCAATCTTGAAGGTGTACACGATCAACTTGACCATCATTGAACGGCCGTGTCCCGTCCCTCCCTCTGTTAACTTCCCACTAAAGAGCATTAGCTGAATTTGAAGAGTAAACTGAATTATCATTAGAAGTTTCTTGGTTTAACTTGTCCCATATTGAGGCAGCCACCACGATACCAAAATCGAGACAGTTGCACGACAACATCTTGGTGTGTTCTTCTTTTAGCTAGTTCAATATCTAGTCGAATCTGTTGTTATATTTAATCGATAGTGTATAGAGTGGAATTGGGTTCTCATATACCGTATTTGTGTTTTAGACACCGAATTCACACTTACCGTATTTGGCAATTGCTTATCGTATTTGGCAGCTGCTCACCGTATTTAGCAGGCAGTCACCGTATATGGCAGTGACCGTATTTGGCAGAGAATTAAACACAGAATTTTCACAACTATTTGTTTTCATACAATGATTTTAGATAACATAGAATTTGGTGTTTGTTTTCATATAATTTGCACAAACACAATTTCGAAGAAAAAAATTTAGATAGTTTCATCTGTTTTCATTTTCCTTTCGAAAATCCATTTGTAGCCTAGTGGTTTGCATCCAGGAGGAAGATCCACTAGCTCTCATGTATGATTTTATAGTATTAACTGTATTTCACCTTTAATGACATCTTTCCATTGAGGTCCTTCCGAGGAATTCACAATTTCTTGATAACTTTGAGGTTCGTTTTCTAGCATATAGGTCAGAAAATTAAGACCATAAGACTTTTCTATTCTTTCCCGTTTGCTGCGTCTAACCTCAGTCTCTTTTTCTAATTCTTCGTCCTGACTATTTTCAGTCATTATCTCATATGTTCGTTTAAAGGAGCTCGTTGGATTTGTATGAAAATACTTCTTCAAAGAATGAAGCATTCCTTGATTCCATTATCGTGTTTTTGTGTATTTTTGAAATTTTTGAATCATACACAAGAAATCGATAAGCACTGCTATTACGTGCATAGCCAATGAAGACATAGTCTATAGTTTTCGAGCCTATCCTTACCTTCTTTGGTGTTAGAATAGCCACTTTTGCAAGACATCCCCACACTCACAAGTGTTTATAGGTAGACTTTCTTCATTTCCATAACTCATAAGGGGTCTTTTTCGATTTCTTTCGAGGCACCTTATTTAAAAGGTAATTTGTTGATAACACAGCTTCCCCCCACATGTTCTGAGGTAACCCAGAACTTACTAGCATTGCATTCATCA